TGGTTGCTATACTAGGATATTGTATAATGTGCTTCTAAGGTTAGGATGTTTATGATTTGGTTTGCATTACTAGAGAGATGGTGACTGAGTTTTTAAAATCTTTTTAGTCCCTGCTGTTTTCAAACCTCTTTCAGAGAGACTGTCTGTCTGTTTTGCTTGAGGACAAGCAAAAGGGTAAGTCTGAGGGAGTTGATCGACCATGGATTTTACCCATTTTTAGCCATGGTCTATAGGTGTTTTCATATATATTTACTACAATATAGAGTCTATTTAGAGTATTTACAGGTTCAGGTATGATATGGAGTAAATTGGTGATTTTGGTGTCTTTTAGAACCTTTTGAGTGCAGAGCTTCGCTGACGCGTCAGATGTTTAGATATGGATGGAGACCTTCCCATGATGCGATTTAGCTGATCTTAGGACACAAGGTAGATCTCTGAGTTATATTTCCAATGCCACCGGTTTGGGGTCAATCCAACTGTTAGATCAGAAGTTATTCTTGTTTTACTGAAGAGTGGTCAGTCTGCCTCGCGAGAGAAGGCTGTCGAGAAGAGGAATGTATATCGATCGATGGGAAAGCCTTTATATCGATCGATATGGATGCCAGAATGTGGGTCGAGCATATTTCATGACCGACTGAAGCCCAGAAGATATCACAAAGTTACCAAAATACCCCTAACGACCAGAAACCCTATTTATGTTATTTGCAAGCCACTGTTGACGGCTACGCTTTTTATACACTTTTCTTTACTTCATAATTCTTGTTAGAGAGTTGGAGAGAAGATAAAATCTCCTTCAGAGATTGATTGGAACTCCATTGGAATTACCTTTAATTTCTTATTCTATTATTATTCAGACTATGATTTGTGTTTCTTATATCATGTCTGAGTAGTTCATCTTGTTAGGTTTAGGGATTTCATGAGTTTAATGTCAAACTGAATATCAATTAGGATTGCTAGAATATCTATAGATCTCTACACCATGGTGATTTGTAATACTAGGATCTGGAGTAATTAGGATATCATGAAAGTGTGAATGATTGCTTGAACCTAGAATCATAGGACAATTGAGATGCACTAAAGTGCAGTCAATTAATGGAACTCGAATCCTGCTGGATTAGATACTTAGGCGCATATGAGAATTGGTCTAGGAATCTAGTTTAACATAATCGATTAGGTCGTTAATGCTTGTCTGAGGTAATATCGATCGACGCTCAGGCCATATCATCGATCGATACTCATTTCTTGTTCGCATGCGAAAGCTGGAACAAGGACTTAGACATCTGATTAATAATTGCATTGATAGATGGCTTACTTACTTATTAAAATCGAGTTCTAGAATGAATCTATAAGCTATTAGCATCTTGAATTGTAGTTTTGAATCTCTTGATTGATAAATCCCTAGGTTTAGCTATTTCTCCTTATTGCTTACAAACTCAACCAATCGAACAACTACCTTGTTCACATTGCTTTTATTTACTGTTTTATAAACTGTTCACCTAGCTTAACTTTGATTTTTATAGTCTATTGTGTGCCCCTGGTCTCTGTGAATTTGATCCCTAAGTACTATAATTGAACCTCTTATTTGAGAGAGTAATTCACTCCTTAGGGTTAAACATTTGAGTGATATCACTTCCTGAAATAAACACGTTGAAACGTATCAGGTAGCTCTTCATTCACATCATGAATAAGCTTTCTATATATCACGAACCCGCTTATTATATATCAACTTACTTGAATTCTTCCTGTCTCCAGCTTCATCTACATGAAGGTGGCCTTCATGCGGACATAAATTGAGATGATCTACTCGATCATATCCAGGTACACATTAGAACCACTGCTACTCTCACTTCATTAGCTTTTACGATGATCCTTGCCGGAGGAGATCAAGCGGCAGTCATCATATCATCACCAGGAGGAAGCGTCTTGGCGTCTATCGACTCACCGTCTCAGTCTACTCGTGCACTTATCACTGATGACTTCTCAAACGATGGATTAACTGATGTTTGCAATTTACGGGTTCGTTCAGACCAGACAGCTCGGAGCTCTGTTCTTCAATTTGTTAGTGGGATGTCTCTTAGTAGTAATGGCGGTTATTTTCGTTACTCAGCACTTAAACTCTATTAAAGGTAAGCCTTGGCCTTCTTCTAGTTTATCTTTTTTAAATGAAAAGATAAAAATAAATAAAAAATAATATTAGTTGCAAACAAAAAAAAATTCTAAAAAATATTATTAAAACTGTCAGCAAAATACTAAATCCTAAATCCTAAACCTTAAACTTTTAGATAAATCTTCAACCCTTGGATTAATCTTAAACCCTAGGATTTATGATTAATAAGATTAATCCAAAGATTTCGAATTTAACCAAGAGTTTAGGATTTATGGTTTACTGTTTTGTTGACGGTATTAAAAATATTTTTTAAGAAGTCAAGGATTTATCCAAGGATTTAAGGTTTACAGAAAGTTTTTAAGGTTTAGGATTTAGGTTTTAGGGTTCAATGTTTTGATAATAATATTAAGAAAATTAAAATTTATGTTTTTCAAACTACTATTATTTTTTATTTATTTTTATCTTTAAATTTTAAAAACATAATATAACTCGACAATATTTTATTTTCTTTTTTAAAAGATACTGAATATAAAATAATGTAATCATATTAGTTGGTGAATCTAGAGGTTACCCAAGAATTTATACTATTAAAGCAGAATCCTATTTTAATAATTTAGGATTCTTCCCTTGGATTTTTATCATATTTACAAGATAATACACTTTTTATTTCTAAATTTGGCCACCAATTAATATCATTTAATACAAAAAATTAAGCAACATGCTAAATAAAAGTACAACCTATAGAAAACTATATATATCACATGTCTATTATTCCTAGAGTTATTAAATTTTACAACAATCATTATCATTTAAAGCGATTTTGGAAAATATAAATTTATTAAAAACAAACGAACAAAAAAATATGAAAATATGAGTTTCCTTATAAATCGTAGGTATTACATTAAATTACCTAATATTTAGCTAATTTAAAAGATTGCAATCTTTCAATTATTTAATACTTAAGGAAAACAATTTATAAATAGCATATATATATATATATATATATATATATATATATAATCAATTCAAATTTTAAATTTATTGAATATTTTTAAAACTAGGTTAGAACTTATTGTGTATAATTATTTGATTTCGTTTGATTTATATAGAGGGTGGTTAACTTTCATTGTAAATTTTCACGTGTATCAATTTTTTTACTAATTTTTCTTTTATGGTTTAACTAAATTTACATTATTTTGAACACACTAAGCATGACAACCATAGATACTAAGATTTTTATACATGAATTACATTGATTTAATTTTCCATTTTTTTCAAAATAATAATCTAAACATTGTTTTCAATTTTTTATTTGAATTTGACATTTTCTTAATAATTTATTTGTAAAAATTAAATGATTTTAGTCACTCAAAATAAACTCAAACCGATCTAAATAGATGACCACTACAATTACATGAATTTAAGTGGATAAAATTATTGACTTAAAAGTAAATGAGTTCGAACGGTCGAGACGTAAATGTGTTCACCAAAAATGACGGATTTAAATAAGGTAGATCTACCATTTTATCATTCTTAACAAAGTATTTCATAAATTTTTATTAGATTTTTACAACATATAATATTCCACTTTTGTCCATTTTTTCTCCCTTTTACCCTTTCTATTTACAAAACTTAATAAAATAAATAATTCTATGACTCGAAAAAATATATAAAAATACAGAGAAGTGATGAAATACCTATATACACAAAGTGATATTTTTAATATTTTCAAAATTTTGTTAAATTAAAAATTTTAATTACGTTCTACGGAAAGTAGAACTCATATTCTACGAAAAATCGCATACTAGAACTCATATTCCTTGTTAAACAGTTAACTCTACAATTTTAGGAAGTTATATTCTACGTTTGTATAGGACTCTGCATATTTTAGAATCTATATTCTACGTTTATATAGAATTCTACAGAATAACTGAATGCGAGTTCTACATTTTAAGTCACTTCTACATATCTCAGAATACGTAATCTACAAATAACTCAAACCTCTACTATTAGTAGAATTTGCTTACAGTGGGACATTAGTAATTCTACATTCTTTAGAAGGTAGCTTCTACGGATAAGATTAAACAAAAATCCGAAATTTTGGGAAAATATTTAGGTAAATATTCAAAATATATTTTTTAATAATCTGGGATCGGGATCGATCGATCTAAAATAGAGATCGATCGATCTATGATAGATCGATCGGTGAAGATCGACTGAACTGGATAAGGTCGATCAGTTTCTGCTCGGTGCTTTTTTATGTTTTTGTTTAATCATCGAGATCGACCGTTGGGATCGACCGACTCTTTCTGGGATCGCGATCCCGTCATTCGAAAGATGTACTTTAAATTACGAAGATCATTACTCCATTTGGGTGGGTTTATATGGATGTCCATAGACTAATGTTTGGGATTGATCGGTTTAAAATAGAGATCGATCGATCTATGATAGATCGATCGGTGAAGATCGACTGAACTGGACAAGATGGGATGGGTGTTTTCGGCTGATGAAAAAGGGGTAGGTTACAGTTCTTGGAATCAAGTTCTACATTGGAGGATTTAAAGAGAATGGTGTTGTAGGATTTTAATATGGAAGAAACCAAATTGGTCGATTTGGAGTTGAGTTATTTACCTTCTAACTTGATCAATACATCAATTTGTCCACCAGTGATCTTTATTCATGTTTCTTGCATTGTAATGGTTTGGTCATAAAAAAAAACTATTTTGGCTTTGGAAGCAATAGTTTTGGCAAAGGGATAGTAAGCATTAATAACTTGATGTTTCTTGCAACATGAAAAGGGTCTTGCAAGTTGCAACTAGAAAAGAAGAATCTAACAATACAAACACATAACTTGGAAGGAAATATATTTTTGGAAGGGAGAGATTTAGAATCTCTAGATCTTGTTGAATGCGACGATGTAAACACTCTGGATGTACTCGTTGTTAGGGTCACAAGTGAGGTAGTCTTCAATGAGATTGTCTGGGGACATGAGGTCATCAACAATTGTGAGCATGATCGTGAGCTTCTTGATCTCATAACCAACTGGTACCAGTTTTGCTGCAACAGTTTAAACAGTAGAAAACACTAGATTAGGAAGCTGTCCTACACATATAATTCAAAACTTAAGCTCATTTTTATAGCGCTTTCACCACCTTTCTTGCCCTGAAAATCCCAAAAAACATTGGAGAAATTTAGTCACACCATCCTTTTAAGCAAAAGCTGTCAAAATTTTCTTTATCTAACCTCTTGTCCACCAGATTTCGATTCAGCTTTGGGTTTTGATTGAGGTTTCTTGGTATCTGTCACCTTCTTTTTCTTCATGCATGAAAGTGGATTTGGACCCTGCAAAGTTTTTGAGACAATAATGTTAGTTCATCAAAGAGACTCAATGTAATCCCAAAGGTTTTAGAACGAAAAATATGATGGTTAACATGTTCTTTGCTATATGTTACTAGCGTGAATGTACATTACCTTTGCTCTATTTCGCTTGAATTGGGGTCTATCCTTCACATCGAGTCCATTTCTTGTACTGACCACTCGAGGTGTTTCCCATTGTTCGTCTTCAGCTGTTCCTTCTCCTCTGCTAAAAGCTAAGATTCTCGCAGTCTATTTCTCCAACATCCTCTTCTCTGCATCGGTCATAGTTAACCTCTTACAAGTTATACAACAACAAGGTCTGACACATTAACAAAAAGAACCTCACATTCAATCATATAAAATCCATTCATACACATTATACAAAAAAACCCCATACTTTATATAGGTTGATTAAGCTTACCATATCAATAATAGCAAATCATTTTCATACACATTACATTTAAAAAAAAAACACTTTATATACATTGAATCAGTTCACATATCAATTGCCTTAAAAATCGAATCCTAAATTCTCAAAAGTTTGTTAACTGATCTCTCACACCAAATCCTACAAGACAAACAAGTTCACACATAACCAACCCATCTCTTGGACAGATAAAATCAAAGTAAAGATAACGACGACTTATGTTGCAGTGCTAAGCATTTGAGCAGCCTCAAGCGACTCCGTAAAATCTTTACCCAGTTTCTGCAACTCCACAACCACACACTTAGTGGTGAAAGGCTTTACGAGAAAAGAGATGGTGGACGAAAGTACCATCGCAAAGGACTTTGAAGGGCTGTCGGAAACCGAAACAGACAGTGAAGAATCTCACTGTTCTTCTGTTCTTCTTCTGTCTCTTCACTCTCATCTTCTCTTCTCTCTGGATTTGAAACGGATTTTCAGAGGCGAGGAAGGTGGGATTAGGGTTTTAGAGTTTAGGGTCTGGTGATGAACGCCGATGGGTTTCGGGAGAGAGGACACTTATTTGTTTGGTTCGTCGGTTTAGAAAAAAATGGTTTGCTATGGTAAAATGCAATCGAGTCAGTTGTTCTCTCTACCCATCGTCGAAATCAAGTCACTTGTTCTCTCTACCCATCGTCGCCGGATGAGATGATTTCGCCTGAGAAGATCTCTCCGTCGATTTCACTGGAGAGGACACAAATGCCTTTGCCGGAGAAGACATAGTCACCTTTTTGTTTACCAAATTAATTGTTACGGGAGAGTGAAAGGGATTTTGTTCCCTTTTTGTTTTTATTATTATTTTAATCCCCTTAGTTTTGAATTTGATTAATATTTTATAAATTGAATTCTAATTAAATTTTTTGTTTAATTACATTAATCCAGGGTTACTTCTGGGATTATAGAAAATATTATACTAAATGGACAAGAGTAATAAGGATTTATACTAAAAGGACATGAAAGCTGTTTTTTTGTTCTATATTAGCATTATTCCCTTTAAAATACGGGTTAAAGTATACGTACTCTTAAAAAAAACTTGAGGAGTTTGCTTCTTCTCTACTGAAGTTGAACCGGTCCCATTAATAGCGCCGCTGCACCCACACTGGTTTTAGTAAACCGGATAGGTCGCTGGTATACCGACTTTGTTTTTAGTATTCTACTTTGTAGAAATCAAAGTGAAAATGGTAGAGGCGAATTTAGGAGTTCGTGGTTCTTTCAGTTTTGATGTTTCAGTGAAATTTGTTGTGACATTCGTTAAATTAGCAGTGGTTTTAAAGAAAAACAAAATCTGTTTTTTAAGAGAAGCGTCGTAATTGTATATTTCAAGATATATAAAGTACATGTTTTTTCGTGTTAAAAAATACAGTACATGTTTTTCTTTCATGGGATTCGTAGTTAATCGTACATTTCGTTTTTATTTTTTTAAAAAGGTTAAAGTAGATAAACAGGTTTAGCTCGGTAGTAATAATTGATGGAGCGATGTGATTAAAAGTTAGTGAGTTTTGGACCATGCTAGCTAGTGGTAATAATATACTTTAACCTCAATCCTCAAATGGGAATGTGGGAGGCATGAATGGCGTAATGATTTTACATATTATATAATTATATAATGTACAAAAGCCAATTGTTATACAGCAAAACGATGATAGGCGTGCATTTGCCCAATAACTTATTGGGTCGATGCTATTTACCCTGTTGACGTACTAAAAAACTGTACCATAGTAAAAAAATTGTGATCGACCAAACAAATACATTTACATTTTTTTGGTGATCATTTTTTTTTCGTAGACGCTATATAACAAGTGAATTGTCTCAGATTTGATGATCTACAAGTAGATAGGTTTAATTCATTACATATTATGAACATATACTACAAATTACAATAATATTTGAATATGCTGTAGTTTAACAACAAATAAATTTATACCTTTGAGTTTAATATTATACAGGTAGACGATTAATTAGTATGAAATAATAACGAATGGCGATTTAACCCCAAAGCATATATACATATGTTTTATATAAAACTCATCTTTTCAACCCAAGTTGAAGAGTAAATTCGTGTTATTTCTTGTGCAAGTCTCTTTCTGTTGGTAAAAAAAAGGGCAAACACCTCATTATTTGGAGAGCTGTAAACACGTTAGGTGTGAAAGAATGAGAATGCAAATACATCGACTTAATTAGGAACGTAGAAGGTGACGGAAAAAGCATATTTCTAATAAAAGCATGCAAAGAGGTTCACGAGATCGTTTAATATGGGCACTACTCTATTTCCTTTCTCTCTTTTTAGCCCCTTTTCCCCTTCATTTATTCATGGACTTTCATATGTATTCGTATTTCAAACTGATCAATTGTCGAGTACAAAAACCTCAGTTTCCATATAGATCGAGAGTCCAATGAAATCTTCCGATCCACTCTTAAAATTTATCAATACTAACTAGCCTCAAATTTATAATTAAGATCTTCGAAACCATTTTCTCACATACCATACGTACTTAACAGTCTAACTGAAGAAGAACACATACGTAGAGTCTGTGCTCGGGGATATATATATAGAACATGCATGGGTATGATTTCTATATGCCCTAATAAATTTTATAGCTAGGGTTTTGTAATTTCCTTAGAAGGTACAATAATAGAATAGTGAATAAAATTAGCGGTCCTTTTTATTGAAGCCTGTATATGTACGTTTTGTCAACTTTGATCCACACCCTTGAACCCTTGGTTTCTAGTGTGGGGACTTCTTATCAACCATCATCAGAGCGGCCGAAACGAGCCACTTTTTGCCATCTTTTTCTACATTCTACGGTCCACTCTCTTCAGGTCGATCTTACTAGTGGGTTTAACTCTGTTGACCAAACTGATTTCGTTTAGTTTGTCTCGGTCTTTTCTAATATGGACGAGTAACCATCACTGTTAAGCGTGTATATGTGTACAACATGTACCCATCCTCGAGATACTCAAACAACAAGATACAAACAAACAGCCGTAAATGCTCTACAAATCTATAGTCAAAGAAGCTAATTTGGATTTCAATTTCAATTTCAATCATGGCTATAATAGGATATAATATCGATATTCATTATGCTGCTTCGATCGCTTAAAACAATGGTGTACATATATTGATCAAGACATGTTTCCTGATCGGGTATAGTGTATGTGAGTTGATGACACAGGAAAATTATAGATATGTCTATGTGTTCGAAATGTCATCGATCAGCTAACTAGATATACAAACTATGGCTATGATTGGTAACCTTGCGGAATAGCGTAATGGCGATTCAAACGCGATTCCGTAAGTATTTTGCCAATCAAAAAAATTTGTGGAATGAAAAAAAAACGTAAAAACGCAAGTTTGCGTTTTGGCGGACAAAAATACAAAGAGAAATTTGATTAAGTGGAAAAGTGAATTTTAGTAGATTGTTTACAAAATCAATGCTTTCCTCTTATTAAATTATATTATAATGTCATTTTAAATTTTTAAATAAATAATAATAATAAATTTAGTAATAAATAGTTATGTTGTAAATAAAATTAAAGTATAATTTCTTTTATAATATTATAAGATGGCAATCTATTATTAAAAACATATTGAAAATAATTTAAATATTTATAATACAAACTAAAAGTATTTTTAATAGATCTTAGTTATTTTCACATTTAGTAATAATTAGTTTAGCTATAGATATTTTTCTTATAATAAAATAAATACCATATAAAATATTTTAAATACTTTAATATGTATTTCATCATTCCAAAAATTTTAAAATTTTCTACAGCTCAATTAATTTTTTTCACAGTTTAACTATTTTTTCCGCGATTAAGCGATGATTACCAATCGTAGCCTATATATTATTGGTAGGCGAAAATAGCGTTATAGCTCCATTTTGACCGACGTTAAAAAAATCCATTTTGGCCAAACAAAATTTCTAGAGTCGAAATTTACATATAGCGATTCTAGAATTTTGCATGAGTAGTGATATATGAAAAGAGTTTATATCAGTGCACCAAATTTCAGTCATTTTGCATTTTTGCTTGTGTGGTTTATTTACCAGTCAGATAGAGATTAGATGACTTTAACTGATGGGAGATGCTAATAAGTTGGGTCTAGTAATGCTAGTTGAAAAATCCACAATACCTTAGACCAATAACAAGCTAATGAGTTGTTTGTTATAGGTTAAAGAGAAGCTGATAATTAAGTTTGGTCTAATGAAACGTAAAATCAAATGACAAAACGTATCTAACGAGTATACGTGTATGCATGTGCATGACATGGTAAGAAGCCATAACTTCAAACCTACCACAAGAACTTCTATTGGTTTTATTTATACCTTTTTGTAAATATATACCTTTATGTTGCTCAAATAAAATTCTTATATGAAGCGATATAAAGTATCTTTTTTGAACAAAAATATAGTATCTATACATAGAGATAGCCGTATAAGAATGTATGTATTTATATGAAGTGGGTCCAAATGGAAACACAATCCATGTGAAGAAGTTTCAGCTTCTGATTAGATATGGAATTGAAAGGAAAGCGAAAGAGAGAGAAGACAGAGGAACAGAACATAACAGAAACTAAAACCAAGTTTGCATCTTTACATTCTTCTTCTCTCTCTCTGTGTACAATAACTACTCTTGCACCAAAGAGAATGTAAGAAAACGAAAAGCTCTTTTTATATATTGGCTTTTGCATTGGAAACAAAACATAAAATAAAGTAACTCACTTAGTAATTTTCTTATGTTGATTTTTTGGTTCTAAAATTATAAGAAAATGTATGGAATTATGATTATTTAATCAAGAATAGAAAATGGATGTGAGGGAGCAATAAATGATTTGACAGTGAAAGCATGGCTCATTGTAGAAACACTGTTCTCTCCCTATCTCTGTAAGAAAGATCTGTTAAGTAGCAGTGAAGAGAAGCCACCAAACACTATACTCCAAAATCTCTCTACACTTAAATAAATGCTTCATACAGAAGACAATAATGTAAATATTGTGTATTGTTATTTACAAATATGATGGTATCTTGGTTTCAACGAATAACTATTTCGTTGATTTGAATAATGCGTTGAGTAACCTAAACCCTAAATCAAATTCACGAAGCGTTTCAAGCATATCTCCTGCCTTTTCTTTTTCTTTTTACTATTTTTAACATAATAATAACTAATTTCTATTCATTAAATATTTGTATACTTTTATACAATATCCAATTATTAAATTCAACTTACTATTCATGTGTTCTCTCTTTTTAAATGTTTATAGTATGTAGATATCTGTATTTTGACATTCATTTTTATTTTTCTATATTGTAATCAAAATATACTCGTTTTACTTTAAAATGGTTTGTATTTTAAAATTTTCATGTATATTAATAAAACATATTAAATTTCAATTAGAATACAGAA